AAAAAAAAACAGGTTAACAGGCGACGTTAACAATAGAAGCAGGAGTGAGAGCTTAGGTGATATCATTCACCAGGAACACACAAATCACTTTAGGCATGCACAGTGATTTTTGTACTGTACTGTTCTGTGCTCGTACCTGTACCAATATCACCCATGAATATCACTCATCATTGTTAGTTTAGATCTTTTCCATCCAATGGCAATCTGTTTTTTTGCTGATGATGAAAACGGAAGTTTAAGGACATATAGGGAAATGATGGATCAGATCCATTCCCCTGTTGGTACTGCATTTGTTATATCCAGGTCAATTCTAAATCACACTATAGTCAGGCCAACATCATATTGTTAAAGCTTGCTACTGCAAGTAAGGATGTGGTTTGCGACTTATTTTACGGCTATAATACTTAAAATTAAAATATTTCACCAAAACCTTTCTAAGACAGTGACCTCTCCCTTACGTTTCCAGATTTCAAATTTAGATTTCACCGTCTTAATCATTTTAGACTAATGCCATTGACCTTTACGAATGGAGGTAATTTTTTTACTGTAGGACTACGGTGCCAGAAAATCAGGGCATTCATTTAAGGTGCTGCTCATGAATGTAATGGTTAATAATAATACATCAAAGTCACAAAGTATTATGTGAAAAACATATTAAAACCATGCATTATGTTTGAAGTGCTATAAAATACAGTAAGTGTAGTGCAGAAAAAAATCATGCAGTTAAGGACAGCCTGGAAATGTGAGGGAGGATCCAGAAGACGTTGATACGGAACAAGATGTAATTTATTGTAGACAAAATATCTGTTCCCTTAATCTAAAGTGTCCTTTGGAGTAAAAAATGAATAAGAAAATGCAGACATTTTCTGTCAAAATAACTGACGCAAAATCCAAGGAAGTTAGAACCAAAACACAGTGATAAACCCCCAGGATATTTTACACATATATTTTTGTGCTGTCAGTGTTAGACGTGGAAAAATAGATGGTTATTAGTTTGGTCTTTGTCACTGCTTTACAAGCCTCACCCCTCACAGCAACCGAGTGCTTCATGTTAAGATTGTACTTTGAGCGGTTGAAGTGACAACTTTATACTTAAAAGGACAACTCATAAAATTCTGCGACATTCATTGAATCATGACCAGTAGAATAAGCGTTTGTATAATTTAAATCCCTGCATATTAAATAGCATGTATAACGTAGCTAGTTAAAAAAAACAACAACAAGTTAATATAACGTTTTTTTTTAAAGTAAAGTAAAAAAAAACATGTTTTATCAGTTATGTAGTTAATCAAATGTACTTCATATTTATTAGTTCTTTCTTAGTGTGATACGATTTGGTAGAGGGAAATTTGCTAAGATTTCAAAAGCAGTATGAGAACCACTTAGATCCCCACAGGATCATAAATATTAATATTCAGACTTATTTATTTCTTGTTTTGAAATATTCATAGTTGTTTATGCTACTTCAAAAAAAGTAGAGCAAACTGTGCTCTGAAGCTAAAGCTCACTGAATCTGGCCAACAATCCTTTGGATATTTATTATTCCTTTCTGATTGTTTTTACTGTTAAACCTTAAACACTGTACATTAATTAATCATCTTAGCTATATGATCATCAATACAGGCAGATTAATTTTAGCTATGGAATGGTAATACATTTAATTAATCTTCTGCCAAGGTATGACAGGCAGGGTATCATGCTGGCATAGTGGTTATCATTTCAGCCTTGCAGGGCTGTGATCCTGGGTTCAATTCCTAGGGTGCTACACTGTACCTGCATGGAGATTTTTCTATTTTACCTTTGTTTGTGTGGGTTTGCTCTGGGTGCTCTGATTTCCTCATGCAGTCAGAAGACAAGTGGTAGATTAATTGTCTTCTGGGAAAACCAGCCCTTATGTTTGAGTATGTGTATTTGTATCTTTGTGTGCCCTGTGATGGACTAGCATTCCATCCAGGGTGTATCCTGCCTTGAGCCTGTTGCTTTTCGGGCGTCCCCTGTACAGCATAAAACAGTTATAAATGGATTGGATGGTACGACAGCATATCTTTCCTTTTTTTTGACTAAATCCTTTTTTGTCTGCTTTCTTAACTTAATTGTTGTGGACTATAGAATCTGTTTACTGGTGAAGGGTTACCTGCTGGTGTCTTGCCAATTGGTATTGATGTTTTCTTCGTTTAACTCTAATCTGATAATTCTCATTGATCTTTAAATGCTACAACTTGCACTGCTAAAGTGCCTCTCTGTTTGTTGCTGTGAAAAGATAATGTACACAGGTCCAGGGCAATATAAAATGACTTTCCTGTTACTTGCTATCTTCACACAAAGGTTTCTATTCAATCTATGCCTTAACAATCTCTGAAGGTGATGTTTTACTAGTGCTGTCTTTGATCGGAGTCTTTCGCCTGTTAATCTGAAATAATTATTGTTAGTGTGAAAAACTAACTTTAGTTTAACAGTTATTTTAAATAAAATTATTTTCTGCCATCATTAAAGACAAAATGTGTAGAGAAATTTGGTCTTATTAAATGAATGGTCTTTGGTGAAATATACTGTGCTGTATTTCAATATACTGTGCTGTAGAAAATAGCTCTTAAAAGCACTGAAGGTCCACTGCCTACTATAGCAATTATGTGTATTCCATAATAAAACAGTAATTTCACAAAATGCATTTACAGTAAGTTATAATAAAGACCTGGTAACATGTACAATATCATCATTATTAACCACATTATTCTTAATGTTCTTATTAAATACAGAAACATTTGCCCATAACAGTATCTATCCTTCTCACTCAATGCGGTATCATACAGTAGCTCAGGATGTACGCCTTGTTTCATGAAATCGACTTAAGAGAGTCTTCCCCCAAGTCAGAACTGTTACAGGGTTGTGCTGGAGCCAAAAGATAGAGCAGGATCCCCAGATTCATGTCATTCATTTGAAACATTCTGCATGACAAAATGAATTGCAAAATTTAGTTAGTACGGTTACATTTGTATTAAATGGAATGTAAAAAAGGACAGGCATTGCAACCCCTGCTACAAACTGTGAAGTACTTTCTCCTGTCAACACATGTTGATTTTTAGGTCATAAATGACCACATAATTATTTCATAGAATTAGCTGTCCCAGGTCTGAGTATGCACCAAGGCTGTTCTTCATTTGGATTCACATCTGTTTCGTATTGTAGCTGAGATTGCCAGTCAATATGTGCAATATTCTATGTAAAATATCTGATGTGTAAGAATAAATCATAAGATTAAAAAAGCTGATCTGGCGAATTATTGATTAGCAAGATATACAGTAAAAGCAGTACTTGATAGATAAACAGCCTGTGGGTGGAGGGCCACTAACATTCCTAGAAGGCGGTTTGTGCCTGTAGCTCTCCTCTGGATCCTGATATATCACCATTCAGAGAAGCTGCTAAATGGAGCTGTAAAAGGAGGCGCTGTGTAAGTGTGTAATTTCTTTTAATAGCTTTAATAGCTTGCCAGCTGTACTTCTTTACAAGTGAGAGGGAGACAAAAAGACAGTTAATTGGACATTTTAAACTGTTCAATACTGAATTACTAGTCATTTAGAAAACCTAGAAAAAAACCCTTATTTAAGCACTTGTAATTACAATTTTATTTACAAAAGCCTCTGATTAGTTTCCACCAATGGTTGGAAAACAACAAAAAAAAATCAAACATCAAACAGACTAGTTTAAACCAGGGGTTTAACAACATCCCACGAAGTGGATACACACTGTATAATTATATGCTTCTTGCTAAGAAACAGGCACAGCACCTAATACCACTTATTTTGCTTTCTGTTTTGCTTGCTAGAAAGTATTCCCTGTTTCAGGAGGCAGCTTATTGATTGCTGTCTTTGTTGCAGCCTTTGTTCCCAGGAGAAGCTCCCCGTCACTTTCCAGTCATGTGTCATGAGGAAGGCCTGCGAGGTGACGGAGTGGTCCGAGTGGGGTCCCTGCTCCAGGGATTGCTATGACCCGAGCGCCCCCAGGGGTGTCCGCAGAAGGACGAGGAGTGTCAAGCAGTTCGCCGTGGGGGGGGGGGCAGAGTGCCCCGTCCTGGAGGAGCAAGAGCCATGCACCCCCCAAGGAGACGGCATCCCGCCCTGCGCCTCGTAAGTGCCGATCACTCAGCGCCATGTGCGTATGAGTCATGTGTGTACAGTATGAGTCATGTGTGTACAGTATGTGCCGTGTGTGTATGAGCATGTGTGTACAGTATGAGTCATGTGTGTACAGTATGTGTCGTGTGTATGAGCCATATGTTTACAGTATGTGTCATGTGTATGAGTCATGTGTGTACAGTATGTGGCATGTGTGTATGAGCATGTGTGTACAGTATGTGGCATGTGTGTATGTGTCATGTGTGTACAGTATGAGTGTCATGTTTATCACAGGTTAGTAAGACAGCAGCTGATGTATGGCATTTATTGACTTTGTATACAAGCAGTGTTTTCTTCTGGAAAACCAAAACCTAATGAAATGGTAATTTCATTATATAACAACAAGTCTTACGTTACTGAACATCACCGTCATGAGTGATCTTGACCTGACCACAGACTTCACGATACCCTGTGAACAGCATCATACTCTTATTTTGTGGTATTAGTCATATAGTAACATTGCTAAATTGCTTTTCATGTGGTCCATTTAAATTCAGATTATAGCACCGAGTTGGAATTTTAACCAAGGCTCTGCTCAATTAATTTTTTATAGTTAATTAAAGTGTCGCTTTTTCAGTTGGTGATATGTGAGAAATTTAGTGGATATCACTCAATTTATTATATACACTTAACAGATAATTATAGTACTTAAGGAATATACTGTATACTTCATTCATACCAATACCTCATTCTGTGGGGTTATACTTAAGTTCCATTGTGTATTGTGTACATAGTGATTGACATTAATAAACAAACAGAATTGGATCCAGGTAGCATCAAAACACTGGAATAAATTGATCCCCCTGTCTTGTATACTGAAACAATGAAGGCTCACAACTAAAACCACAGAAATGTTTGTCTCCTGGGACTCATCAACATAATACAGCACTGTTCAGGACAGTGGATTCATTTGCAGATGGCTGTGGAAGAAAAATGAAAAAGAAAAGGCAGTGTTTGAAATTCATTTCTTAGTCGCCATTCCTAATCTCCAATTCAAGAATCCAGACTCTTTCTAACTGGAACTTCCCTTCATGTAGAAAGAAGAATATACACATTCTAGTGTAGCCTCTAACCAGAGACAATAAAAGGTTATGAGGGTCATGCTTGATCCAAAAATCCACTACCTCTGTAAAGTAAAACAAATCTGCACAAAATATCCTTAAGTGAATTAAACTGTGTTTCCAAACAAGAATGACTTCCATATTGTCGTTCACTTGATCTTTCATAGTACAAAGTTTACCCAGCACACTGCTGGGAATCTGAATACTGTTTCTCATTTTCCTCTCACAGTTGTACATTTAAACTAATCAAAAGAGCAGTTTCCAATTGTAGTCTCACACCATATACTGTACATATTTCATTTTGCAATCTATGGGCATTAGGAGTACAAATTTTATTCTGGTAGACTTCTAAACAAATTAAGCTTCTTTGTAGTTTTTCAGACGAATGTGACATGTTTAAGTTGTTGATATCGTCTTGAACTGCGTTCTTATTTTTTGCTCTTGACTGTTGTGTCGTGTTCTTCATTTGCTTATTGAGATCACATTGGCCCCATAGCACAGATTCAAGATTAACAGCATAGATTGGGCTTGTCATCTATGATCCAAACCCAGGCGCTGGCTCAGAATCAACAGTAACTGCTGGCCACAGATACATGTATTTGTTTTGCATTTAAATAGTACTTCAGCATTACTTACATGTAAAATGTAAAATCACATGCCTGTAAAGCACTTGAAAGGGTTCCTTTCTCATAATTAAAAAAAAAAAACTAGCATTGAAACAAGCAATCATACGTTCTAAGCAGGAAAAAATGTATCCCATGTATAATGTATAATACATAATATATAATTAGTAACTGTGCAAAAAGGCATGTTTACAGTTGCAATATAGCAACTCTCTCTCGCAATATACCGTATGTATAATTTTTAGTTTTAGTTCTTGTTGTTTAACTATTATTTTACTAAGTCAGTTGTATCCTGTTTCAGGATCATTTAAGCAGTTTTGTACATGAAACTATCATGTGTTTGCCGAATGACATTTCAAGCCACCACGCTAGGACCTTCCAGTAAAGCCACCAGCTTCACAACGCCTGCAAAGTCCTTCATCAATAATGCAGAGCTCTTTCCCTTCAACAAGCACGGGATCAAAGGCAGGCAACATGCAACCACTTCCACAGCTTTTCGGTTTTCTTTGGTTTTCCTTCTGTCAAACAAACTGGGTTTTAATAACAAATTCAATTCGGTTTATAAATGCAGTTAATTAGGAATCTGCTATTTAATACTAATTGAAATAGAAATCTGCTGGAGGTAAGTTTTTCAACATTTGCTTCCAACTGGGAATTTTGCACAGTTGCATGTTTTTAACTTGTGTAAATTCTGTACTGCAATGAGATTATTAATCTACAGTAATGAACCGTTGCATATAGTAATACTTTGTTTTCTAATTTTATTTACAATATTATAAATTTTTAATCTGGTAGATCCTTTAGTTAACAAATTCTGATAACAAATGGGAAAAGTACAGTATATTAGGACATAAAATACTGTACCTAAACATATACTTAAGAAGCGGCGCAAGCTTTAATATTATGCCTGAAGAAACAGTATAATTCTAGTATTTTCAAATAGCCTTTTCAATTAAGAAAGCACCATGGGACATCCATTTAAAAATCAAACTATGTTTTCACCTCTTTGTTGCATTTTGGGTCACCTGAATGGGTCACAAGTCAGTAAAATTCTAGAAAGCTCCAGGGAAATTGTACATATTTAAATGCATTGGAAATGAATACATCTAAATTCATTCAAACAAAAGTATTAGTGGTCTTGCCGAGCTACTGTAGAAGACGAAAATGTCATTTATATTTCTTCATAGAAAAAAAAGGTTTGAGGGAAATAAAGCTTTCAAATTTTAAAAGATCAGAGGTTGTTCTCAGAACAAATCTGATGCACTGATATTCCAAATCTTATCTGATCTTTTCAGGCTTACTGAAACTGGGAAGAGTATAATAAGGCATGAATGCAAGTCTTCACTTTAGAACTCCTGCCTGGAATTTCAATAAATATACTGAAAATATAAGAAACTGGTATTCACATGTAAATAGGCAAATATTCGAAAATAATTTGCACATTGTACAGTGTTAGCCAGGAAGTGAAAGAGATCTTCCCTCTGTTGTGCCAGACTGGTGCCACCCCCGTTTTCCTTCTCTGAACATGAGCGGATTTTAAGAATCTTAAAGCATTAGGCAGGGATCTGGTTCACTACATGGCTTTATGTCTAAATGAACATGAGAAAGATACTTTGCTCAGTCACACTGCTATTTTAAATCACACAGTTTTCAGTTGAATTAGGGGAGTGTTCAATTAGTATTATTTTCATAGCAGCAAAGCTTGTATTTTCTCTCTACTAAAACAATCTCCACTGAAGTAGTCACTTGTCCACAGGTTTCTTACTACAGTATATGTGCTTATGACTGTAAAATTAAACTTACCTTTAGCCCTAACGTAACAGTGTTCCTTACCTTAAACACATTTCTAACCTTAACCTTCACGCGCAGTTGGTCTCTGTGAACTGCAGGAGCCATTCAAATAATTCAGGTTCCTGGGGGAGTCTGTGGGGAGGAGGATGTGTCCCAAAGCTAACCAAACAGACTGCTGAAGGGTTATGGCCTTTCCCTTGTGCAGGTACGGGTGGAGAACAACGGAGTGGAGTGAGTGCCGTGTGGACACCCTGCTCAGCCAGCAGGATCGCAGAAGGGGGAATCAGACCAGCCTCTGTGGAGGGGGAGTTCAGAACAGGGAGGTGTACTGTGTCCAGACCAATGAAGACCTCCTCTCCTACCTGAACACACTGAAAGAAAAAGAAGGTAAATAAATCCATACTCACAATTCAAAGCCGGGCTGGGAATTCCTAGGGGGCAGTGGGATGCAATACAAGTATCAAACAAGAAGCTAACAAACATGGTTTGAAATGTTGCAAATTGCAGACATGCACATGTACAGCGGAGGCACCCAACAGTATTTGATAACTTGCTTACATTATTGAAAACTAGACATTGTTTTACATTGGGACAGGAATGAAAGGCACCCCTTCCTAAATTATGAATTAAATATTCACAGAGGATCAATCATTCGGAAGTTCTGATAATATACTTTAAACATCAATGAATATTAATAATTCAAAATATCCATCCATTTTGTAACTGCTTTATCCAGTGCATGTTTGCAGGGGAGCCAGAGCCTATCCTGGCAAGCAGTGGGTGCAAGGCAGGATACACTCTCGATGGGACGCCAGTCCAGCACAGAGCACACAAAGACAAACGTGCACACACTCACCACTGTGGAAGGAAACCAGAGCACCCAGGGGAAACCCATGCAAGCACAGGTAGAACATAAAAACTCCATGCGGATAGCACCCCTGGTATAGAATTGAACCCAGTGACCTACACAGCAAGGCAGAAATGCTAACCACAGAGCTTCTAGGCTGTCCATTATTTAAAATATACAAATAAATCATTTGAGTGCAACTGTAAAAAGTGTTTACATTACACCTGTTAAAGCTGTTCAAATATTTGAAAGCAGTCTAGTGATTTGTATGAAAACAACTTCTGCAAGGTATTCCAAAAGTGAGATAAAACAACAAGGCTCACAATGTGGTGTTGTCTGTCGATATTAAGAAATCTGTTACACAGGCTACTGAAGTATTCATAAATACGTAATGAAAAATTAAACAGTTAAACAAGAGTTAAACATTGGAATGATTCTAATAGATCTAGTAGCCTGATAAGACTAAAAAAGATAACTGATCTCCTAAATATTCCCCCTGTAAATATTTATCAGAGTAATAGAAGAGGAAGGTGTTGTAGAGCCCAGGGCTTGATGTAAAAATGGAGATTTAGGAAAGCTTGATTTAAACTATAAACTATAAATGCTGACTAAAGCAAACAGGCAGCTGGTGAACAGTATAAGTATGGTATAGTGAGGAGCATGTGTTGTAAAAGTAGAAAGAAGAAATGCACCATTTTGAGGTACCAGAGGAGGTACTAGAGAAACATGGGTGTGACACCTGAAGCAGGTACCATAGAAACACGGGTGTGACACGTGAAGGAGGTACCAGAGAAACACAGGTGTGACACCTGAAGAAGACTTAGTAGAAACACGGGTGTGACACCTGAAGGAGGTACCACAGAAACAGGGGTGTGACACGTGAAGGAGGTACCAGAGAAACACAGGTGTGACACCTGAAGAGCACTCAGCAGAAACACAGGTCTGACACCTGAAGCGGGTTCCAGAGAAACACGGGTGTGTCACCTGAATGAGGTACCAGAGAAACACTGGTGTGACACCTGAAGGCGGTACCAGAGAAACACAGGTGTGACACCTGAAGAAGACTCAGCAGAAACACGGGTGTGACACCTGAAGGAGGTACCAGAGAAACGCTGGTGTGACACCTAAAGGAGGTACCAGAGAAACACAGGTGTTATAACTCAAGGAGGTACCAGAGAAACATGGGTGTGACACCTGAAGGAGGTAACAGAGAAACACAGGTGCGACACCTGAAGAAACTCTGCAGAAACATGGGTGTGACACCTGAAGCAGGTACCAGAGAAACACGGGTGTGATACCTGAAGGAGGTACACCGGAAAACTGGGTGGGGCACCTGAAGAAGGTTCTGCTGGTGAAATATTGTGTTTCTCCTTTCTGATTTTCATCATGAAAGTAACCTTTGTTCTTAGGCATGATATTAATGTGGGGGAATCTGCTAAGATGTAACAGAACATCATCTGAGACAGACAGGAGAAACAAAGGACAGGTAATGAACGGCCAATTAGACACAGAGGGACACAACCAAAACAATTATAAAAAATGGTCAATGCTGTTTTTAAAAAACAACTTTTTTGTATTTTTTGTATTTTTTTTGTTAATTAATTCTAGAAGTTAGCATCAACATTTATGAATGACTAGAGATACATTATCTGATGTGAAATTGATCTCTTAACATTTCTGATAGCCTGATGTACAGCTCAATGCACTCTTTATGTTTCTGTGTATTGTGGTCCCTTTTCAATTTTCTATAACATGCTTTCTTTTTCACAATGCTTATCTTGAATGATCTGTTTAACCATTTTGGCCATCTTTTCTTAGGCATAGAATGGTTTATCTGGGGGGTGGCAGGCTATCAACTTGTAATGATCTAGTCTGAAATGAACTATAAGGAAGGAGCTGCTACTTGCTACTGTATGTGTTTTTATTTCTTCCATATAGAAAACCCTGCTTCTCAAACAAAAAAGAGGCTGTACAATGAGTAATCTTGGCTATTGACCTATACAAAATGTAATTGTTTACTTATAAAAACTACCAGCAAAACAATCAAATTGAGTTGAAACATATGGCCATAGAAACACAAAGGATTTTTATATCAATGCTATATAATGAGAATCACAAACACAAAAATGTAAGTATCAATACCCTATAATAGCAGACACATAGATGTTTAGCAAGTCTAAAACTTTAACTTTAACTTTTACTTGGCTGCCTTAAATTTAGCTCAGCATTTGTTTTCAATCTACTCCTTCACGTTTGATTTTAAAGGCAACCTAGTTCATTCATATTTGCATCTGAAATGTCGGCCGAACCTTTGTCAAACATCCTTTTAGGAATGTAGCAGTGATGGAAACCTGGAAATACACGAGAGCAAAATAGCAAGACAGGAAGAGGTGGCAGCAACTGTAGGAAATGTAATTAAGATGGATTAAATGTGGTTTACTCATCGCTCTCCCTTTGAAACATTTTTGCTTTCTCAATTTCTCCTGTAAAATGTTTGATGCTGACACAGGTAACACTTAAAATGAACACAAACCTATTTAAGATTTGTTAAATTCTTTTTTTTTTATTCAGTCTGGGGATCAACAACAACAATCACTTTAAATGAAATCATATTGGTGCCAGTTTTTAAAATTTTCATTACGTTGCATTTTGCTGAATAAATAACTTGTGATCGAATAAATATGTTTTTACTACAGGCACTACAAAACATTACTACCAGGCATCAGATACTGTATTTTTGCAGCAGAATTTCATATTGATGAATAGTTACAATAAATACAATACATATTATATACCGATACAGTAATTGTAAATTAATTAATTGAGGTTTACTATAAAATCTGGCCAGCAACTACAGTAACTAGCAACTAAGTAAAAGAAGTTTTAAAATCAAATATTATATTTGCATATTTGCATGTCACAACAACAAGTGAATGTTAACAAAAAATAGCCACAGGTATTGCCATTAAGTGAGACAATTTACACACACTTGTCCTCTTGATAATGTATCTGCGAAGGTGGCTTTGAACAACATAACTATCCAGAATGTACTGTACAAGGGCAATAGAAATTCCATTACAATAGAAATACATTTAATTTCACAGGACAGATTCTGTGAAATCTGTCAAACCAAGGCAACTCAAAGCACTGCTGAACTTCAAAGTGTAATCGTGTCTTTGTTTCCAGTTTTCACTTTGGCGGTTGCTTACACATTCTTACTGGTAATATGATATAAACATACAGGCAAGGGCCAGATATGCGTCCACTCATACTGTACATTAGATTGGCACCAGTTGCGATTTTGCTGCCCCTGTGAGGGTCAGAAATGTGGTCTGAATGTAAGTTGTATGAATGTAGTGCTGTCTTTACATTCTGGTAGCTTATTTAAAAAAAAAAGTGGTTTATCAAGTGTAATTGATAAACATTAGGGTTTATGTGACTGCATTTCTTGGGGGGTCTGAATTATGAATTGTGATGAGGCAGAGGAATCCGGTGTGATGAGATTAGATCAGAGCATTGGGAGCCACACTTTATCTCTCCAGGGAGCAGCAGAGTTACCATGTGCAGAGGGAAGGCAGGCAGAGCAATCAGCAGCTCCGGCAGGGAGCGGGTTTCACTCCTTGTATAAGCGTGCAAGATCAGACAGAGAGCATTTTCAGAGAGATTTTCTGGACTGGATGCGTTGGGGCTGTGCCATAGTCTCAGAAATCTATTCACGGTGAGATAAAATCTCAGACTGTAGTGGAGGTAAATGGAGCTTGATACTTATTGTGTCAGATTGGTGGGGGCAGCAGTTTTATTCCCAACGTCTAGCCAAACAGTGTCTGCCATTCATTACTCCCAGTAAATCCAAGGTTATAGAAAAACTAAGTGTGTGAATGCAGAAAAGGGAAGTGAAGGTTAAGTTAAGGGTGGGTTTTGTAAAGACGTCTGGTTGGCACTACATAAGCCATATAAAATACCTCACTAATGCAACATAATTTACAGGTTTCTGTACATGGGTCCTTCTTGTCATGCTCCCTGAAGGAAGAATCTGTTGGGATCCCTTACTATATGTAGTTCGCTAAAATATAACAAACAAAGAAAAAGGATAAGCTCAATGTCTATGAAAATGTATTAGCTACCTCAGAATAAAACAAAAGGAAAATGGAGGTTTTACTTTCATTGCTCATGGCTGAGCACCTTGTTCTCTTCACCAGAATGCTTCTGATTTTACCCCTCACAGCTGCTCAGTTCCTGCCATGTTGTTTTCTGATCGCTCCTGCGCCTGAAAGGTTCAAGGGTTTTTTTCACTCTCACTCTCACACTCTTCCGCGTTGCTTTTTTGATCGATCTGTGCGGTTCGTTGCTCATTGTAGGCACTTACGACAAGCTCGCCATCTGAACAAAGAGGGCAGCTTCTCAATCATACAGCTATTTTGGAGACATTTCTGCTGTTTTGTTTTGATGCAGGGGGATCTGAGGACGAACAGAATTCAGCAGAAAGTTGAATCCTTGGTTAGGAAAGGTTTCTAATAATCTCTTTTGTTGTTGTTTTCTA